CCTGGAAAATCAGCCAGTGTCGGGAATTTCTGGAAATTTTCAACAGTGTTCTATCAGAGCCTCTTCTCCAACCACCCAAAATTCCTTCAGTCGCACGATTATAGTTTTGATTTTCTGATTTTTTTCAAAGAGGGTGACCACAGTGAAGCCTGGATTTCTTTACATCAAGTTGAAAAATCGACTAATCCTCAAAATGAGCTGCAATTTTGAACATTATACCACTCAAGCCTTTTGAATACGTGGACAAAATTTCCAGGAGTTGTCAGGTTTAGTTTGGGATTTATGATTTTTTTTGAGAAAGTGACGGCAACGGTGCTTTGGTTCCTCACCATTAGTTTTGCGAATTTTTCAAAAATCCAACAGACCTTGAAATGTACTGTTTTTTTGCACAATTGCTTCGTGAGGCCTTGTCCATACACTGGTAAAACTGCAATCCTCTGGCGCGATTGCTTTGCAACGGATGTATTTTTAAGTCTGAGCATGCACATCTAGCAATTTTCAAAATTGCGCCAAAATCAAAGAGTGTGGAAAATCGACAGCAATTTTACGCAATGTACAAGTAAAGTCGCTTTCATGGAAATGAGTTACCGCAACTTCCTAATGGGGCGCGTTTGGAAGTTATGAATTTTTGAACCCACGTCAGCGCAACGGGGCTTCGCTATCTCAACCCCGTTTTTAAAAATTTGTAAAAAAATAACCCGTGGTTGAAATGTACTGAATTTTGGTACATTTCTTCCCTGAAGTTTGTTGCATCCGCCTGCCAAATACGATTGGCCGGGCTCAACTACTTGGCAAGTACGGACGGTTTAAGTATGAGCAGTTACATCATGCAGTTTTCACACCTCACCTTCGATGACGCCGAAAAAATCAACCGATGGCGCAAACGGCCTAGAATTTTCCACAGTCCACCCCCGGGGCCTGGTCTATAAACGCAAAAAACCCCCCAACTTGTAGCGGTCGCCGGTTGGAACTTATGCGTTCTTGAATACGTTTGCAGCTTTCACTGCTGCCGTTTTTGCACAGTCACACTTAAAAATTCCTCAAAA